AGGGAACTGAGGAGTGATTTGGAGCGATGCGAGCCACGAGTTCTGTCGCTTCAAGAGTCGGCCAATCAATTACTTGACGAGAAAGGCGAGACCAGGGCACGCCTACAGGAATTACGACTCAGGTTACTGTCACTTCGTCGACTGACTGGAATATACGCGTTGAAATTAGGGGCAGCGTTAGGGATGGACCCACGAGATATTGGACTCGCTGCCACCACTTCTTCTCTTGCCTCACTTTCTCACGATGTAAGCTTCGAAAGCATCTGTTTCACACATACTCGACGAAATACTCGAAACGGAACAAAGTTCTAGTATAGAAGATTCTTGATATTTAATTTACGTAAGAACGAAGTAGCTTCTTCAAAAAGTTTCCAGGGACCTCGACTTGCTGAAACTCGCTTCTTAAGTGTTAGGCTTCAGTGTAGATCTATGTGCACTTACGTCGTAGGATCACGTTGATCGACATTTGAAACACGAGGCACGGACTGTAATAAAGATCCAACGAATATCGAGTGCGAAATGGCAGAACCGTTTGAAGTTGTTTCGTATACGACCTGTAAATATGAAAGTATTTTTATTGACCATGTCTCTCGTATTTTTTCCAATTGGATAGGAATAGACGAAAGGATTTAACATGATTTCAAATTTCTTTCTTTTTTTTTTTTAAATAATTTTAGTATATGTACTTCATTTTACTTTGATGAAGATTGTTAATGGTAATTATCGTGTAAGATGTACAAGACAAATTAAAGCGAGTATTCTAAATCTAACTTAAATATAGAGTTGGTAGAATTTTTTTTTTTTTGGTTGGAATTTTATTATTTCGTGCCTCGTCACAGTAGTATTCACACGCACAGTACCTTATTGTTTGTGTTTTCTCTTTTACTGTATTGTAGCTACTCGACGAAGCTGCCTCTGGAACCGTTCAGCCCCACGACGCACATGGCACAAAGTATGTTTCCTTCATTTTCTGTTTCAAGTTCCAAGCTGCGTTCTCCAATTCTGCGATTTCTATCTACGAACGCACGTAAACGATATTTTCGATATCGAGCAGAATTGTTGGAGAACGTAAGCTCAGGCAGATTTAATCTCCAATACTGTACCATTACGTGGTTGGAAAGATGACTTGCAATCTGTTGCACTCATCTGTTGCAAATTTATAAGTGAGTTCATTCCGAAATTAATTTCTTCTGCCAGGCAACTTTCCAGCCACAAACGATACCTATATACTACTCTCTAAATAAAGTACCATTTTTCAAACCCGTGATAACAACTAGAAGCGTGTACATACACGGAATTTCAATCTGTATAATTTTTATAATAATACACACGAGTGTATTTAAATACAGTCAAAGCTCAAGAGAAAGGAAATTTCTCTGAATTAAAAGACATAGTACATAAAAAAAATGCGTGCGCATGTACTAAGAATATCGATCTTTAATTTCTTTAACGCGGGCGTGTATTTCAGATGGAAAATCACGGCACACCTAACAATAGAAATCGTGTAACAACCGTGAAATGTATATGTTTCAGTGGTGACGATGGCGAGCTCACGGTATTGTCTCGGGGATACCGTTTCCTGGGCCGAGTGTTGCGAGTGTCGTTGCCGATTCAGGCGCTAATGCTGTTGTTCCTCGGTGTCGCCTCGCTGGTACCATCCGCCGAAGAAGATTACAACTGCATGCTGTCGAACAACCTCGCCAGAAGCTTCACGCCGATGGTCGTCTATCCGAACGGGCCGCCGCCGATCTAACGATAAGGAAACCCAGTCTCGGATCTCGCACCGATTTCGTAGGGCCCAGAAGAACGTTCAACCGAAATATCCGGAGAAGTCGCGGCAAGCGGAAACGCGAGATCGCGCGCGATCTGCGCACGCATGTACCTACTTAACTAGTCTGTCGTAACGGTAATTCTCCGTCGACGCAATCGTATGACGAGAAAGATCGGCAAAAGATCCGTTCTTTTTTTTTTTTTCGTACGCAGTTTAGAATCCTCGCAGTTTAGAACTTTCGACTCGAGATGGTTGAACAGCTTTGGATAGAACTAAGACTGTTCAACTGTCTCGACGAGATAAAAGAGAAGAAGAAGAAGAAGAAAAAAAGACACGTATAGACGATGATTTTACACGTAATAGACTAATCTTGCCGGATTAAAGTGGATAGTTGTTAATCTGTCCACACGTCCCAATGAAAGACTAAAGTTTCGACACAGTACGAGCAACGGGATGCTCGTTTTGCTGTTCAAACATTGAACGAACAATTAAACGGACCTTTTTACTTGCTCCTAATAAAGAAATTCGATGATTCTCTTCCGTTTATTCGTTGTATTCGGTTATTTAGATGGTGCGAATTTGTATATTTTACGTTTGTATAAAATTTGTAATATAATTGGACGTCTTTGTTGTTGAACTTTAACAGCGAATTCTAATTCTTTTTCTTTTTCTTTCATCTTTTGTTTTACTTCTCTCTCTTTTTTTTTTTAAAAACTTGATTTCTATCACTTCGTTTCCTGAAAAATTGTACAGATAATACATTGAGGTAAATACCGTTGCGTTTAAATGTTATTTAACATGTTGATATCGATGATATATCCGTTGGAAATACCATTCACTTAACACGAATATGTTCCATGATAGAGCGTGATATTACATACAACATACCTGTTCGACTTTATTTTTTATACGTTGCATTTATAAACTCGAGGGTGAATAGGGGGAAGAGCGAGGCTTGATTTCGCGATCGAGAACGTCCACTGACCGATACTTTTTCAGAGCGTGATCGCGAGAAACGCGATAGTCATTGGTGCTAGTTTCGAACGATATAGAGAGAATACATAATAATTAATTATAATACGAGTACATTATTATTATCACATTATTATCGAGGTGGTTTTGAATTGTTCTTCTCTCCACTCTTTTTTTCCACGACTCCTTCGAAGGAAATAATACGAAAAAGAGGAAAAAGAAAAAAAAAGACAGGAACGGACAAAGAAGAGGAAAAACGAGAAGACACCGACGTATCGCATAATAATCGAAATCGCATAACGAAGTTATATCGACGACACCTCGAACGGGGTGTATTGTCTCTTTTCTTTTTTTTTTTTTTTCTGTTTTTCGAACGAGAACGACACACTTTTGGATACGCACAAAAGGATCACGAGTTCATTATTCGAGGTACAAAAAAAAAAAAATAAGAGAACGACTGTATTTAACGGCCCGCTAGTTTCGCTTCCTAATTTATCGATATCTTGCTTGCTGCGCGACCGAGCTTTGTTATGTATTTTTATAAGGACAGAGCTTTCCGAAAGGCGGTGTAATATCTGTCGATGTAATATAATTATAATAAATTGAAACATACAGAATCTTGTTCGTTCCCTTCTTCTCTTACGAGCACGACTTCTCTCCCGATTGTGTTCATTCGTTTCCAATGCGATAGAAAGAATTCTAGAAAAATTCTATACATTCTACTATTTTATACACTGGCGAACAAAGCTTACGAGGAAAGTGATACAGTGGCATGGATGATTTAAATAAACGGACATCTGACATTTTCATCTCCGTTTGTACGAACTCGCCAGATGAGTGCATGAAATTAACATCAATTGAAAGTCTATCGAAACGAAAACATCGTGAACTTGCAAAGAATTCTTTGCAAATACCATAGGGATCCCATTGTCCACAGATAAAGACGATGTAAATATCGAATGCTTATTCGAAATGAATAATTCCAAAGGAAACAAATTAAACGATAGAATCTTTTATTCTCTTCATGTAAAGACTTTTTTACGTCACATTGTTTAATTTCTTCTCGTAAAAAGCAACAAATTCATGTGATTTGTGCTTCGTGAATAATTGCTCGATACTTGTAATACGTATACATATATATATATATATTGATACTCTGAACACCTTGAATCGCCAACGAGTCTAAGTAGTACAGCAAATATACGCAACCACGTGCATCCGCCGCATGGATTTAAGTGTAATTCGTATGAAAGCATCGCGGTAATTAACAGTGATCTTCCGGATGCAATTATCGCGATCGAAAGAAAGCACGAGTCTCGCGGTCGCCACAATAAACTTTATCAGTGGCGCCTGAGAAAGCGCTGTTAAGAGAAGCATAAACGGAATACGTATTCCACTTAAGCCTCGTGTTGACACATCGCGTTAACTACCAACGAGGTTCATTATACTCAAGGCATAACTGCAACAGAAATGGCTCGTCTCGCGATGTTTTTAG